TCTGGATGAAAAGATTTTAAAAGAGTATATTCGAAATTTCTGATATCTATTTTATTATTCGTCAATATTCCACAACAGAAGAAACAGATTTTTTAGTTCTATTATCTATCTTTCAAATAGTCAATTTAGAAATATATATTCACGATTAATTTTCATATTTATTCAAAATCAATATATATAAATTAAACAAACTAATTTTACCACCATAAATACAATTTTCGATTAATAACTTTTAAAATATAGTCACGAACAAGCTTTTTCAATTTAATTAAATTTTTCAGTGTTATCATCAGATCATTACGTTGTTTTGAGATACACAATGAAGATAAATAGCTAGTATTGTTATTAGGTTTTCACAATAAAAAATGAGCTATAGGTTCTAAATCTTGTTTGAATAAATTAATAGTAAGATTATCCATTCGACGAAAAATAGCGGTTAATAATTGAATTTTTTCTAATGTGATTTCTTTATTAATTGTTACTTTTGTTATCATATTTGTTTCGGATACTAATTGAGTTAATGGATTTTGTTTAATTAAATTCAAATTATTTCGATGAAGTATTATTATTGAATCAAGTTTGAATGTATGAACATTTGATGTAAATTAAAAAAGTTTAATTAATTTTTCAAAAGAAAAACGATGACATTTTATGAATAATCTAGTAATTTTTTGCAATGGAAAAAGGTGATTTAAATCAACTACATTGAAATCACGTGGTACTTGAAGATCTTCACAAAATGTAAGTTTAGTCGCATTTATAAGTTTATCAATAGATTTTTTTATCATATCTGTAGTATGAATACAAATATGATCAATTGGATCTTCATTTATAGTCCAAAGATCTGACCAGATGTTTTCACCCAGTTGATCATGCACTATGTTATCTTTTCTTCTGAAAAGAAATAGAAGATGAGGATAATGTGAGACATCCATTTTGCCTATATGGATTACTTGAATAAAATATGGTAGCATCGGACCATGTTAATTGATGGTAATGCCAATTAAAGAACCATTGATGTTCTATCCAAAATTCTGAATTAAACTTATCGACAAGAGTTTCAAATGGTTGATGTTTATTACAAGGATCTAATTCACGAGATGCATGTTGTAAATCAAAAATACGTAAGTTTAATAGATGAGCTGAAATTAATTGTTGCCATCGATCAGCATTGATATATTGATTAATATCAGGATTAAATCTAGGAAATGGTGTTGCAATACTTAAAA